GTTTAATACAGTTTGAGGGGGTTAAATACAGTTTGAGGGGGTTAAATAAAGTTTGAGGGGGTTTAATACAGTTTGGGGGGGTTTAATACAGTTTGAGGGGGGTTTAATACAGTTTGAGGGGGTTATATATAGTTTGAGGGGGTTCAATAAAGTTTGAGGGGGTTTTAAATAAAGTTGAGGGGGTTTAATTACAGTTTGGGGGGGTTTAATACAGTTTGAGGGGGGTTTAATACAGTTTGAGGGGGGTTAAATACAGTTTGAGGGGGTTCAATAAAGTTTGAGGGGGTTTAATACAGTTTGAGGGGGGTTTAATACAGTTTGAGGGGGGTTTAATACAGTTTGGGGGGTTAAATAAAGTTTGAGGGGGTTTAATACAGTTTGAGGGGGGTTTAATACAGTTTGGGGGGTTTAATACAGTTTGAGGAGGTTAAATAAAGTTTGAGGGGGTTTAATACAGTTTGAGGGGGTTAAATACAGTTTGAGGGGGTTTAATACATGAGGGGGTTAAATAAAGATTGAGGGGGTTTAATACAGTTTGAGGGGGGTTTAATACAGTTTGAGGGGGTTTAAATACAGTTTGAGGGGGTTAAATAAAGTTTGAGGGGGTTTAATACAGTTTGAGGGGGTTTAATACAGTTTGAGGGGGTTTAATACAGTTGAGGGGGTAAATAAAGTTTGAGGGGGTTTAATACAGTTTGAGGGGGGTTTAATACAGTTTGAGGGGGGTTGGTTTAATACAGTTTGAGGGGGGTTTAATACAGTTTGAGGGGGTTAAATAAAGTTTGAGGGGGTTTAATACAGTTTGAGGGGGGTTTAATACAGTTCGAGGGGGGTTTAATACAGTTTGAGGGGGTTAAATAAAGTTTGAGGGGGTTAAATAAAGTTTGAGGGGGTTTAATACAGTTGAGGGGGTTAAATACAGTTTGAGGGGGTTTAATACAGTTTGAGGGGGGTTTAATACAGTTTGAGGGGGGTTAAATACAGTTTGAGGGGGGTTTAATACAGTTTGAGTGGGTTAAATAAAGTTTGAGGGGGTTTAATACAGTTTGAGGGGGGTTTAATACAGTTTGAGGGGGTTAAATAAAGTTTGAGGGGGTTTAATACAGTTTGAGGGGGTTAAATACAGTTTGAGGGGGTTTAATACAGTTTGAGGGGGTTTAATACAGTTTGAGGGGGGTTAATACAGTTTGAGGGGGTTAAATAAAGTTTGAGGGGGTTTAATACAGTTTGAGGGGGTTTAAATACAGTTTGAGGGGGTTAATACAGTTTGAGGGGGGTTTAATACAGTTTGAGGGGGGTTTAATACAGTTTGAGGGGGTTAAATACAGTTTGAGGGGGGTTTAATACAGTTTGAGGGGGTTTAATACAGTTTGAGGGGGTTTAATACAGTTTGAGGGGGTTTAATACAGTTTGAGGGGGGTTTAATAAGTTTGAGGGGGTTAAATACAGTTTGAGGGGGGTTTTAATACAGTTTGAGGGGGGTTTAATACAGTTTGAGGGGGTTAAATACAGTTTGAGGGAGTTAAATAAAGTTTGAGGGGGTTTTAAAACGTTACGTACGAAGTAGTCGATGAAGCCTTTCTTCTCCTCGATGTCGGCGATGGTGGCGCTGATGGGGATGTTGTGAGGAAGCTGGTCGAAGTCACTGAGAGGAGGAAATCATTTAGATAATGTAGTCATGTTTTATAACAGGATTACTGTGTACTTCTACTGCACTACAGCTCAGAGGTAGATGGTGTACTTCTACTGCACTACAGCTCAGAGGTAAATGGTGTACTTCTACTGCACTACAGCTCAGAGGTAGATGGTGTACTTCTACTGCACTACAGCTCAGAGGTAGATGGTGTACTTCTACTGCACTACAGCTCAGAGGTAAATGGTGTACTTCTACTGCACTACAGCTCAGAGGTAGATGGTGTACTTCTCCTGCACTACAGCTCAGAGGTACATGGTGTACTTCTACTGCACTACAGCTCAGAGGTAGATGGTGTACTTCTACTGCACTACAGCTCAGAGGTAGATGGTGTACTTCTACTGCACTACAGCTCAGAGGTAGATGGTGTACTTCTACTGCACTACAGCTCAGAGGTAAATGGTGTACTTCTACTGCACTACAGTTCAGAGGTACATGGTGTACTTCTACTGCACTACAGCTCAGAGGTAAATGGTGTACTTCTACTGCACTACAGCTCAGAGGTACATGGTGTACTTCTACTCCACTACAGTTCAGAGGTAGATGGTGTACTTTTACTGCACTACAGCTCAGAGGTAGATGGTGTACTTCTACTGCACTACAGCTCAGAGGTAAATGGTGTACTTCTACTACACTACAGTTCAGAGGTACATGGTGTACTTCTACTGCACTACAGCTCAGAGGTAAATGGTGTACTTCTACTGCACTACAGCTCAGAGGTAAATGGTGTACTTCTACTCCACTACAGTTCAGAGGTAGATGGTGTACTTTTACTCCACTACATGTATTTAATACCTTTAGTTACTTCACAGATCTGGATGAATGATGTGAAATATAATCAAGTGTTAAATCAGACTTTAGTTCCACCTTGAGTAAATTCACAAGCTACCCTGCAGTATACAAAGTCATTCAAACCAGCTGCACCTTTACTTTACATTACATCACATGTCACTTGTTAGACGCTTTTATCCAAAGCGACTTACATACTCAATACTGTGGACAATCCCCACAGGAGCACTTTGGGGTGAAGTGTCTCAGGGACACAACGACATGCTGACTGCAGTGGGGTTTGAACACCCTGATCCGAACACCTACGCACAACCCACTGCACAACACGCCTCCATGCCTCCCTTTACCAGCTTTGAGAACACTTTCATGATCAATCATTATAAAACATATCATATATATTATTCTGAAATGGACCAATCTGCACAATGACTACTTTTACTGTCACTACTTTCACTATATTTTGATGATAATACTTTTCTACTTTTACTTGAGGAACATTTTGAATGCAGGACTTTTACTGAAACAGAGTATTCCTACACTCTGGTACTTCTACTTTTACTCAAGTACAAGATCTGGGTACTTCTACTTTTACTCAAGTACAAGATCTGAGTACTTCTACTTTTACTCAAGTACAAGATCTGAGGACTTCTACTTTTACTCAAGTACAAGATCTGAGTACTTCTACTTTTACTCAAGTACAAGATCTGAGTACTTCTTCTTTTACTCAAGTACAAGATCTGAGTACTTCTACTTTTACTCAAGTACAAGATCTGAGTACTTCTTCTTTTACTCAAGTACAATATCTGAGTACTTCTACTTTTACTCAAGTACAAGATCTGAGTACTTCTACTTTTACTCAAGTACAAGATCTGAGTACTTCTACTTTTACTCAAGTACAAGATCTGAGGACTTCTACTTTTACTCAAGTACAAGATCTGAGTACTTCTACTTTTACTCAAGTACAAGACCTGAGTACTTCTACTTTTACTCAAGTACAAGATCTGAGTACTTCTTCTTTTACTCAAGTACAAGATCTGAGTACTTCTACTTTTACTCAAGTACAAGATCTGAGTACTTCTTCTTTTACTCAAGTACAATATCTGAGTACTTCTACTTTTACTCAAGTACAAGATCTGAGTAGCCTACTTCTCCTCCCTCTGACAACTTGACACCATAATAATAATAAAATACCGGTGCATGGATGGTTTAACTTCCAGTTGTAGTTCCCATACAGCCGAACAACACACTTTAAGAGAGATGATAAAATATCCTCACCTCTCGTCCCGGAGCTGCCGCGGCAGAGACATGATTTTTATCCCGGGATTAGAGTGAGAAACACGGGAAGAACTGAGACTTCTGTCCGGAGAGAAGCTTCTTCTGTCGGATAAACTCTGAGTCACACACCGCTCTGAAGCTGCAGAGAGAAGTGAAACAGGCAGGAAGCGAGAGGTCCCTGACACAACACAGGATGGTGCGTTCAGAGGCGGGGAAATAGTCGTGTACATAATTTTAAATGTATATTGTATGTATACATACATTTAGAATGTAGATTTTGTTAAAAGAAAGAAAAAAATATGTTAATAATTGAGTTTTTGGGAGAATGGGTGGGATTAAATAAGTGTAAAATTCATCATTTCTTTATATATAATTTGTAAGTCAATCATATTTGTTTTTATTAATTTGATACTGCTTCAGTTTGTACAGTATCACAATTCACTTGTTTCATTTCATTATTATTTGTATTATTATTATTATTATTATTTATTTATTTTTGTATTATTGTTTTACACGTAAATCAAATCAAATCAAATCTTAAATGGGGTGCAGGTAAACAAGAGAAGAGGATGGTGCGTTCAGAGTCAGGTCGCAGGTAAACAAGAGAAGAGGATGGTGCGTTCAGGGTCAGGTAGCACGTAAACAAGACGAGAGGATGGTGCGTTCAGGGACAGGGTACAGGTGTGTGTGGTGTTACATACAGTGAAGTATACATGTCATTACACAGGTCTATCTGCATCGTGCAGCAGCTTGAAGTCAAGCATACACATTCTGACATTGCGTTTCTTTGTGTGGACTTAATCACTGAAAATACAACATATTTTCATATCCTCAAAAGGATTTAAATAAAAGAATGGTTTTAGAATTTAAAATTGTTTTTGAATTAAATTAAATACATTATTATTATTTACTCATTCCTTGAATATAAATGTAAACTTTATTTATTTATAGGGTAAGTTACAGTCAACGTCTTCCAGTGTGCAAACAAAAAATAAAAATAAATAATATTAATAAATATATAGCATAGGTCCAGTTGTTTACGGGCAGAAATATGACATATTATACTTCTAAACGTCTGTGTATTAATACGCATTAAACACAAATCAGTGGCTGTTGTATAAAGTGAGAAAATACATGGTTAAAATACGTTATTTTGGTTTAATTCTGAATCTATTTTTGCATCCTTTGTCGCATAACTGACAGATTTAAAAATAAAAGTGTTTGGGGAATCCCTGGAAGCAGTGGCGATTCTAGAGTCTGTGGGGGCCCTGGACAAACATTCACTGGGGGCCCCTCGAACCAGCTTTCATCACCATCAGTGGCACCCCAACACACACTTCCCCCCCCCTCCCCAGAGCCGAGCAAGGCAACGACACTTACGGCCCGTCCACACAGCGGCGTGCGTTGAAAGCTTCACCATTCACTTGAATGGGGTGACGTCACTTTTCGCCGAACTGCATTGTGGGAAGCGAAGCGGAGCTTTGCTGGCGTGGCTCGCTGCAAAAGTTGAGAAATGTTCAACTTTTGAAGCTTCTGAAGCTTCGGTGGAAGCGTCAGCCAATCAAATCCCGTTTATGCAAATCTGCCAGTACAAGTGCTAGCCAAACCTAAATACAGAACAAACCTCCCTCTCTGTATCACACACAAACACACACTCTCTCCAGATGGTTTCACAGTTTGGGGAAGTGGGGTTTACCCTTTTTGTGAAATATCATGAATAACAGCGGAAGTATTTATAACTCTAAAGCAGAACTGACCTTCTGTCCCAGCTGTGATCATCCTCACAAATAAGGCTGGGTTCAAAACCTCAATACGTCCAACAAAATCACAAATCAGTGATGAGTAGTCTAACATATTAAATAAAGAGACACGTAAGAACATTTTCTTGTACACATAGCTATTTCACAGCTGTTTGTTTTCTTTTGTTTCGTGCAAATAAAAATGGTTGTTTTGGTATTAAAATAACTCAGGTACCAACTATTGTACATCACCCGGCTCCTTATATGGGATAGGTGAGGTTTTAGGGGTTAGCTAAACAGAGAGAAGTGAAAGTTAAAGTGAAGAGAGAATGTAAAATAAGTAGAGATACACAGGCGGAGTGGGAACGTCACGGTTGAGATCAAGTCACTGAGCATGTCTTCTTCACTAAAGAGCCAGATTGCATGTGAAGGCAAATGGCTAAAGTATTTTGGATTAAAAAAACGCAGAGACTTTTGCCGTTTATCGCCATAGTTGAGTCTCCTTGTTGTTGTTGTGTGTGTGTCTCATTGTAGTCATGTTAAGTATATTTGTAGTTTTGTTGTGTACACACACACACACACACACACACACACACACACACACACACACACACAAACATACACACACACACTTACACACACACCCTCTCTCTCGCACGACAAAAAAAAACAAAAAAACCAAACCTTCTATAGATATAAAAAAAACAACAAACAAAACAAAAAAAAAAACAAAAAAAAACAAAACGATATCTATCTATAAAAAACAAAAACACACCAAACACACACACTATGTCTATCACACACACACACACACACACACACACACACACACACACACACACACATATATACACCCTTACACACACACCATCTCTCTCTCTCACACACACACACACCCCACACACACACACACACACACACACCATCTCTCTCATATTCACACACACTCTCTCTCTCTCTCTCACACACACACACACACACACACAAACACACACACACACACACACACACACACACACACACCCTCTCTCTCATACTCACACACAAACACCCTCTCTCTCTCTCTCTCTCTCTCACACACACACACACACACATATACACACTTCCGTGTGCACTTCCGGTAATGGTCACATGGGTGTGGTTTGGTTATATAAGTCACCTGTTTGATGTCGAGTGCGGATGACAGCACAAGCTCACCCTCTGTCATCTGCACTCAACATCAAACAGGTGACTTATATAACCAAACCACACCCATGTGACAATTACCGGAAGTGCTCAACAAACAAATAAAAGTGACGTAAACAAATAATAATAATACAAATAATGAACTTGGGCTAAGTAGCGTTATGGCACCTACAGTTACTTTAATAATGAATACATCATCAACATATATAGATTACATTCAAATCTGCTGTTTGTTGTCAGTATGAGTTGTGAGAGGTCAGCGGTTAATGGACGTGTCAAACTTGTATTCAAATGTGTTTTGAAAACGTGTTTCTCTCTCTCTTTCACTCTCTCGTTCTCTCTCTCTTTCTCTCTCTCTCTCTCTGCAGCTGACAAGATGTCGATGACAGATCTGTTGAAAGCGGAGGAGATCAAGAAAGCTCTGGAAGCTTTCGCAGGTCAGAACCATCAGAAACATGAGTTAGATTTAATAAAAGACCATCGAGGAATTCCTGAAGTACTAATACTGTGAAAATACTCCAATACACGTTAAAGTCCTGTATGGAAAATGTCATTTAAAGGTGGGGTAGGTAATTTTGCAGAAACCAGCTCGAGTGCACTAGAATTTGAAAATACACAGCTGGAAGAAATCTACCACTTCCTTACAGAGCCCCTCCTCCAACACACACGAACGCGCACATGACCAATGAGGGCACAAGATAAGTTTGTGCACAGATGGAAGGCTGACAGGCAGGTAGGCCATCCAGTTACTTTAGCCGGGCCGGCTCAGATGATTGGTCGTGCTTTTTACAGCACTACAGCTTCCACAGATGATATTTTTTAATGGATTTTTTGTCAAAGCACTTCAGATATTCATTGCTATCAGGGATGTTAAGAGCATTCCATGGAATATAACAACAAGTGTATCTCGAGCCGGTTTCTCAAACTTACAGTACCTACCCTTAAGTCAAATTATAATCATCAATATATTCTTTATTAGAATAAACCCTGAGGTGATGAAGGTTTGAAACACTAGGTGTCAGTAGAGTTGTGCAGTTTGAGAGGAAATCTGATTTATTGTTGCTGCACTGAAACAAATTCATACTTTGGACCAACAAAACAAAATCGCTAATTTGTTACAGCTCATTTTTTTAGTTTATTCCAAATTAATCTTTTTACCTCAAAAAATGAAGTTGAGTTAAGTAAAAAATATTGCTTCTGTCAAAGATATATATTTACATTCACACAAAGTAATAAGATTATTCATTCTGAAGACCGCACAACATTTATTACTTGGTTATAACTTAATCATTCCTTTTAGACTAACCTCATATTTATTATTAGATCTAAGTAGTTTTTGAGTTTGAGTAAACACACACACACACACACACACACACACACACACACACACACACACACACACACACACACACACACACACACACACACACACACACACACACACACACACACACACACACACACACACACACACACACACACACACACACACACACCGTGTGCAGATAACCTTTCCTGATGTGCACTTTCTAAACTCTGCTGAAGTGGAGGTGGTGATTATGGGATGGATAACTCTCTTTATGTTCTCTGCTCTTATCTTCTTTCTTCTTTCTTTCAGGAGAAACCTTCGACCCCAAGAAGTTCTTTGAGCTGGTCGGGATGAAGGCCATGTCGGCGGAGACCGTGAAGAAAGTCTTTCAAGTTCTGGACGTGGACGGGAGCGGCTTCATCGAGGAAGAGGAGCTGAAGTGAGGAGGAACACACACACACACACACACACACACACACACAGACATAGACACACACACACAAACAGACATAGACACACACACACACACACGCACGCACGCACGCACACACACACACACACACACACACACACACACACACACACACACACACACACAAACACAAACAACAACACACACACACACACACACAGACATAGACACACACAACACACACACACACACACACACACACACACACACACACACACACACACACACACACACACACACACACACACACACACACACACACACACACACACACACACCCCTCATGGTTCACTTCCTGTTTCTCAGGTTCGTTCTGAAGGGGTTCTCCAGTGAAGGCAGAGATCTGACGGACTCAGAGACGTCAGCGTTCCTCAAAGCTGCCGACAAGGATGGAGACGGGAAGATCGGCATCGACGGTGAGAGGAGATCATAATAATAATAATAATAATAATAAAGCTTTATTTATACAGCACTTTTCATACAACATATGCAGCTCAAAGTGCTTTACAAAATGACACATCACAAGTTAAAAATACACAACAATAAATTCCACTCAGATTATTTGTTAAGAACTTTAAAGGGTACATGCAGCGAAATATAACAATTGATCAGAGGCCTGTACGACGAAGCCGGTTCAACATAACCTGGATATGTTTGAGTTACCCGGTTTACCTAATCCAAAACAAACGCGCTCTCGCTAAGCGGTCCTACGACGCTGGTTATCAACTCGTTAACTCAAGCCAGCCGTGTCCTATCTAGTTAGGTGCGCGTTCACATGAAAGGGGTGGTATCTGGAGCATTCGACCAATCACAAACATGGACAAGCGTACTGACAGCGCAGCGTCATACTTCCTGAATGAAAAGTGAACTATGATATTAGACAAATATGAAGAAGTTAAACTTTAAACATCCATGACTTAAACACTTTATCCAGGATCAAAGCCACATAGCTGCACCTGCAAGGTGAATACAGCTGGTAACAGAGAAAGTGTTTGAATGCGTACATTAACAGGTTTATGAAATCACTGCCCCGTCCAAGACACGATCTGACTTTAATTACATTTGACTCGAGTGTTTTGTCAACTTAATGTGTTGCTTAAAAGAATACTTCTGCATACAGATCTATAATGCGCCGGTGAAGATGGCAGCATTGTCGTTTGGCTCCTCTCCAACTTTGCCCTTTTTCGTATTTTGTGCGTGTTTATTTACTTTTTGCCGTTTTACTTTTAACATGGTTCGCAACATGCAAGCCGACTGCACCAACTCTGCTATACAATATAGCAGAGAGGAACTTCTTCACATCCGAAACTTCGTGGACAATAATAACCCTCCGACAGACAATGGAGATTCGCCATGGCTACCTGTTGCTGTCCTACCTGAGAGACGCAGGAGGAAGACCAAGCGAGGGTCCCGTGTCGGGCTGCTGGTCAGACTGAGGAAACGAGAAAACCAACTGTGAAAACCGACCCCCTCTTCGGAGTATTCTTCTGGCTAATGTTCAATCCATTGAAAATAAACTAGATGAACTCAGAAGTCGGATTGCTTTTCAACGGGACATTAAGAACTGTAACGTGTTAATTCTCACTGAGACTTGGCTCAACCCCCGCTATCCCGGACTCCGCCATGGTTCCTGACGGATTCACTATTTTTCGTCAGGACCGGACTGCTAACTCGGGGAAAAGTAAGGGAGGCGGTGTGTGTGTAATGACTAACAACAACTGGTGCTCAGATGTGAAGGTTATGTCTTCGGACTGTTCCGCTCATCTAGAGCACCTCATGATCTCATGTCGGGCCTTCCATCTGACGAGGGAATTCACATCTGTTGTGATAACAGCAGTGTATATCCCGCCGCTAGCCGACAACAACACGGCACTCGATCATCTGTTTGGGACTATTGACAGGACCGAGACTTTGTTCTTTGTGGCCGGAGATTTTAACACCGCTAACATGAAGAAGGTCCTGCCGAAATATTACCAACACATCAGCGGCCCGACGCGCGGCGGAAACATACTGGACCATGTTTATTCCCCTTTTCGACATGGATATAAGGCTCTCCCTCGCCCTCCCTTCGGCAAATCAGACCATATCTCACTGCGGCTGCTGCCTGCTTACAAGCAGAAACTTAAAAGGGACAGACCGATAACAAGGACAGTACAGCGATGGAGCGAGGAGTCAGATGCAGCACTGCAGGATTGCTTTGCATCTACGGATTGGAGTGTGTTTGAGGACAACAGCATCAACACACACACGGACACTGTCATCTGCTACATTGGGAAATGCATCGATGACGTGGTACCAAAGGTTTCTGTACGGACATTCCCAAATCAAAAGCCCTGGATAAACTGTGAGGTGTGCGGCAAACTGAAAGCGCGCACTATCGCGCACAGAGCTGGAGATTTGGATGAGTACAGGAAGTCTAGGTATGATCTCCGGAGAGCAATTAACAATGCAAAGAGACAGTACAAAGAGAAGGTGGAATCTGACTTCAAAGGCTGTAACACTACGAATATGTGGGCGGGACTAAGAACAATGACAGACTACAAAGGAGCAGCGGGGGGTTCTGCGGGAGTGTCTGCGTGCGCATCTCTCCCAGATGAGCTAAACAGTTTTTTTGCACGCTTTGAGAGCAGCCAGGCTGTGGAGGTACAGAGGGACCAGGAGCTACACTGCCCTTTTGTTTTAAATAGGGCAGATGTGTGTAAATCCTTTAAAAGGGTTAACCCACACAAGGCTCCTGGACCTGATGGCATCCCTGGCCGTGTTCTCAGGTTGTGTGCAGTTCAGCTGGCAGAGGTGTTCACAGACATCTTCAACAGGTCCCTGCTGCAGTCTGTAGCCCCACATGTCTTAAACACTCCACCATCGTTCCTGTCCCGAAAAAGACAATAATCACCAGCCTCAATAACTACCGCCCAGTAGCACTCACCTCCATCATAATGAAGTGCTTTGAGCGGTTAGTCAAATCATTCTGTCTGCACGTTTTACGTTGCTTAAGGTAAGTGAACATGAAACTATTCAGCAAAACTTTCAACAATAATCTAAGGTATTGAGTTTTTGGGATAATACTTGCATAAAAATCTATAAATGCCTTCAGGTTTCTAAAATATATAATATGTGGTCAATTCAACAGTGGATCCAGCAAAGATTCACATTTTTACATGATTTTAGTTATTGATTTTTTGCTGTCACTTAATTATACTTGTAATAAATTCAAGTCAAGCTTAGTTACATGTGATGGTAGCTAGTTAGTGCTCTTACCTGTGTGCCTCCTCCGCAACCAGACTGTATTAAAACTCTTAAGTACCTGCTCTATCTACTTTACTTTAACAATTAAAAAGACAAAATCAACTACATTTATTTATATACCAATATTTATTTTTGGGGCCTCTTCTTTTAAATTAAACTTTCAGACGTGAGATATTAAAATACAGTAATAGTATTTGTTATTTAAAAAAACTGAGCCACAATAAAAGTGTAGTTTCTTAGTGAATGTCCTGTATTGGTCTTTAATGTCATATCAGCTTTTCATTTTCTTCTTGCCCCTCGGAGAAAACGGTGAGGCAGTTGTGTACTTCAGGCATGTCCTTTCCTACAGAAATGACAAGAAACATAAAACCTATGACATTATTGCAGAGTAAGTGTGTTATTTCAACACAGTCTCACGGCATTTCGTGTTATAGTCACGAAATTAATCTATTGATTCGTGTTCACCAACACGATTTCGCCATTTTTTTCGTGTCACACAGAACGATTTTAAAAGCAATGCAAATAATAACAAATTAGAAGGAAAAAAAGATGACATAAAATACAGATGTCAGTATTCTGAGGCTCTGAGCCATTTCTTTTCCTCACTGACGGCACACAATCTCAGACATTATACAATTTAAAATAAAAGGGATAGGGTTAGGCTTAGGGTAAGATATTGAGTAAGAACATGTTTTTATGAACCACACAGCTTCTGGTCTTCCAAGACCCGACCGGACAAAAAGACGTGTTGCAGGCACGAAACATACTACCAATAGAAATACATTGCATTTAAAATCGTTCTGTGTGACACGAAAAAAAGGTGAAAATCGTGTTGGTGAACACGAATCAATAGATTAAATTAATTTTGTGACTAATAACACGAAATGGCGTGAGACTGGGTTGGTTATTTATGAAAGAGGTCTGTTTGTTTATTTAGCGGCTGTAGAAATAATATATTTTTTTATTTGATTGTGTTTTTTAAATTCATCACTTTGTACTACAAAAATAATCAGATTATGATTGAACAGTATGAAGTTAATCAACATTAAAATATATGTTATTATTAAAATAATATTCAACTGTTATCAGAACTTAGTGTAAATGTAGAATCATGCTGTTCGGTTGTCTCACGGCAAGAACCACTTTTACCACGTCTTTTACAGACAATATGTAGAGACAAATGGTAGCAATTCTCACAATGTAAAATAACAATTGCCTTAAATCATGTTGCTTGGTAAAATCGAAATGTAACTTTTTGCAAGGAAGGAACACAGTTGTTACTTTATCTAACCAGAACGTTTCTCGATTCTTTGTACAGTATGAAAGGGGTCTTTGTACCTTTCACTCCATGCTGAAGTTCACTGCTTCTAGGAATCTAGGTCTGTCTCTCGTGTTCAGCATCCTCTGGTCTGTCTGCATCACCTGGAAACTTTAAACAAACAGATATGTAAAGTAACATGTGTTGGTCACTGACTTTTTTACATGCAAACGTCATGTCATAATCTTTTTGTTATCCTTAAAAAAAGTGCTGGATATCACAGCCCTTAATGTATCTTATCAGTTGGATTGTGTATTATTGTCTAGTCGGGGTCCTTTTTATTTTACTGTTATTTTGGAATCGTTTTTCATGAGACAGTCAAATTAAATATTTGTCCTATGCCATATTCACATTCATTTGTAACACACACGTAAGGGTAAAAGACAAACATCTTTATCAAATGTAATGCAATGAACGTCATATCTAATATTTAAACAAATAATTTCCTTGTCACTAAAGCATTGACCACTACGCTATCGTCGTTAAATGCAGGCATTAGGTTACATGTTCACGTTCTGCTGCCACAATAAGTTGGTTTCTCCAGTGTAATGATAATGCTTAGTAAGTATTGGTAATAATATTAATAAAAACAACAAGGTTTGGGTTCGTTCGTTTAATATGATGAACGTTAACCAGTAAGCTTCAATAAATAACTCCAGCTCAACAAACCATATTGCAATATCTACGTTAACGTTATTTCTGGAACCATCTGGAAATGTGAGATTCATATTTTTAAAATACACAGATCTTATAGTGAGGTTAATCTCATATACAGTACGCTGGTCTTCAACACTACTGTGACGCTAGCTATCTGCATCGTCGAGCATAGCGAATTTAAATTAACAATAACAATGCATACAGTTACCTAACTAGAAAACTAACTATCTAATGTACGAGGATGACCTTATTTTACCAACCTCACCGAGAAGCCTTTTGTTCTACAGTATAATCCTTCTTAATGTTTTACACTTCTCTATTATGTACTTCTCTATTAAGTTTTAACTTGGATGCTACGGATAGCATCGTTAGCACAGATGTAGCTTAGCTGAATAAAAACACAAGTAAGAAATAAAGTGCTTGAATTTCACTTACCGAAGAAACTGCATTCATGGACGGTCTGTTTCAACCGCAGAGCCATGAGATAAGTCCGATATTTGAATGAAGAATACTCCACCAGGCATCAACACAACAAACACGACCAAGTTCAAGTTGTGTTCTCCGGATCAGCCAAGAAGCTGAGCCCCTGTAGCAGCCTGGAGCTAACGGAGCTAACGGAGCTAGCAGAGCGACCACTAGCAGTTTGGTACTTCCGTTTCATTACAATAACTTCCGTTTCATTACAATGACTTCCATTACAGCAAGAATCCCCCTCACACACATAGGTGAAACACATGCACATTCCCTACTGAGAACCTTTCAGAAAAAAATGTTTTCAGGAGTAGGCCTGTGTGTGTGAGGTTAATTTTCAGTAGTGAATGTGAGGTTTAATTTTCAGTTGTGTATGCGAGGTGTTCACTAGTGAATGTGAGAGTATTTCAATAGTGTGTGTGTGAGGTTGATTTTCAATTGTGTGTTTGTGAGGTTAATTTTCAGTAGTAAGTGTGTGAGGTTTAATTTTCAGTTGTGTGTGTGAGGTGTTCAGTAGTGAATGTGAGAGTATTTCGGTAGTGTGTGAGCAAGGCCAGATGTTTTCAGTAGTGTGTGTGCGAGGTTAGTTTGAATTTTGGCCTACATGGCCCTTCATAATATGGACGTCTGCACTCACAGTGCCGCGGACTGTACGTAATGTTACTCTGATCCGGTTACTTATGTCGTGGCAGATATTTAAGTAAGCTTTCTTAACGCTAATGTTATAATAGTCAGATTGCTCTGAAGATGGGAGGGGATATTCTATTCATTTTCACGTTCACACAGTCAGTTGATTTTTGCCGGCCGTCTTTCCTGCAACAGCAGTTTTTCTGTATTTCCTTTCTCCTGTAATATGACTTGATCGCTTTAAACTCCGCACACTGAGCTCTGATTGGTCAGCAGGCGGTGCTTTCACTGAGTTGATCTCTTAAGGCCCTGACACACCAGGCCGTATTCGGCCGTCTTCGGTTGTCTGGCGACAACGCGTTCCTTGTCGCCCAAAGTCAATTTGGTGTGTCCTGAACCCTCGGCCGTGACACGCCTTATTTGGCCTTTCACGGTCGACACATGGCCGATTCAACATGTTGAATCGGCCAAAATACGGACACAAGCTATCGGGCCAAGAAACCACTCTGATCAGCTGTTCAGCTAGCAAATGAGAAGCGAAACGGAAGTGAGGGACGTAAACAAACGATTAAAAAAGGCACAGGACAGCAGCTAAACACCAGCAGGTGATACTTAAAGACATCAAACATAGCCCTTAAATGTCCTCTCTTACCTCCCACACATAGCAGGGACATCTCTGATATCGGCGGGAGCGTCCCCGGCTGTCCTCTGCTGAGAGCTCCGTGATTTGTTTGGTCAAGTCCGGTTTTTCATCTCATCGTAAATTTAGCAAGAAGTGGCCATTATTACATTGCTGACTCAATAAACTACACACCCGCCAGAACACTGCGATCATCAGATGCAGGTCTATTAACTGTGATTTTATAGTATGTCTGCACTTTATGTGCTCATTTCATCATGCATGTATTTTTATATTCTAAAACATGTTTTCGATGGACGAGAGTGAAAATGGAACGCACACGCTATTTGTTTGTTTATATCAGTCTGTTCTTCTTCTTCTGTCTTCCGGTTGTTGCCTATTTTGAATGACAAATAAACACTACCGCCGCCTGCTGGTAAGGAGAGTTATTGCCACTCACGCATGCGCAGTTCGTACCTGCTCGTCTGAAGTCTTTGCGGTGTGTTCCAGTGCGACACATGGCCAAGACACAGGAGAACTCGTCGATGGAACTGTCGGTGTCGGCGAGTTCTCTGGTGACTGCCTGGTGTGTCAGGGCCTTTGGCCTGCAACCTAACCTGCTCTTAGATAACCTGCAAACAAAGACACATACACAGAAAAAAACACGCACACACACACACACACACACACACACACACACACACACACACACACACACACACACACACACACACACACACACACACACACACACACACACACACACACACACACACACACACACACACACATAGACACTCACCCAAATCTATAAACTATCTCTCGACTGAAGGGCTGATATTAATTGAACACGATATAAAGCAGGATAGTATTTACATCTCTATCGATAAATGACTTATCTGTGCACATATTTCTTCTTCTTTTTCAGAGTTTGAGGTCATGGTGCACGAGTAGGAGACCGTGAAAACCTTCCTCCTCTTCCTCATCCTCCTCCTCTTCATCCCTGCTTTCATTATTTTGGATCAGCCAGCTTTAAACTCCACGAGGAGGAACATCATCATTTTCTTTGTCCTGTGTATATATATTTATTAACCTGCTGTATGGTTTCTAGAATCCCTCCGCGGTGCAAGAACATGAAATCTTGCAAAGTATATTCGTCTAATTTCGAGTCAGAATATGTCTTTACACTCAATATAAGACCTAATAAGTAACACTGCAGTGTCTCAGATGTCACACACACACCCTCTCTCTCTCTCACACACACACACACACACACACACACACACACACACACACACACACACACACACACACACACACACACACACACACACACACACACACACACACACACACACACACACACACACACACAAACACCCTCTCACTTTCTTGACCAGAAAACAGAAAACCTTTGAGCATTTCTAGCTTATTTTGTAACATCTCCTGACCCTGGTAAAATATAGTTCAAAATAAGATTAGAAGATCTAATTGATCTAAATATTCCATCTTACCAAGCGAATGAACTCTTGTTCTATTGGCAGAAGACACCTCGTTTCATTGTTCTTTGACTGGGTTTTGGAGCAGCCTTTTTTCCAGATGTTACTCTTTAATCTGAATGGACTCCCTCTGTGTATCCCAGGTTGTGCTTTTTCTCTGTTTTACTGTTTTAGTGCTCCTCATCTTCCTCACCTTCATCTTCCTCTTCCTCCTCCTCCTCACTCCCTGCCTCCCATCAGATGATGTAGTAAATAAATGAAATATAAAGGAGAGCTGTGAAGAGAGGAGAAGCTCTGAGTAAGAAATGATAATAAAAACAAACTTGAGTAATAAATGTCTCTTTACTTGTTTTTACTCACAGACGCACAACAAATAAAAATAACAATAGAAGCAGCGAAAAATAAAGAAAAATTCCATAATATTTTTATAGAAATTATATGGTTATAGCAGGGCTATAAAAAACACAGTAGAAATATTTAAAAATACATTAAAATGATATGAAAATAACCCAAAAAATCAGCAATAATAAAGTGTGTGTGTGTGTGTGTGTGTGTGTGTGTGTGTGTGTGTGTGTGTGTGTGTGTGTGTGTGTGTGTGTGTGTGTGTGTGTGTGTGTGTGTGTGTGTGTGTGTGTGTGTGTGTGTGTGTGTGTGTGTGCAGGGCCGTATCCACCATTGAGGTCACCGAGGTCCAGGTTTCATATCATTTTAATGTATTTTAAAATATTTTTATTGTGTTTTTTATAGCCCTATAACCAAATCATTTCTATACAAATATTATGGAATTTTCAATGTGATTTTTGACATAACTCAATAATTCACCTTCACTATTTATTACATTGTAATATTCACATAAGTATGTGAACATAACCAATCACCTACCATAGCCAATAACAAATAAAAGCAACGTATTTTATTTTTGTTATTCATATCTTATGTTACCTACTTAACATTTATTTATTTATGCATATTTTTTAATCTCTCCAGTTTTAAACGATATGTCTGGTTTGCTGTCCTATAGTATACATTGGAATGATTTCAAACCTTATTTTATTTATCCCAATAATTATAAAGGAGTGCCTCGGAAATATTTGTTTAGATAAATTGTGGTCAAACCGTTTGGGACCCCCTGAGATAACTTAGACTAAAGTGAACTATCTAGAGAGTCCTTTAGCTCACTGATCCTCTGACAGGAGAGAACAGCTCCTTGTATCCGTTAGCGCAGCTAGCACCAGATGCTAACAACAATCACCGGTGTGGTCAACACATTCTCACTACCAACTCGTCCTATAGTGACGCTATGTTTGGATTCACATGAAGAAACAGATTTGAGACACATTTGTTCCTGAAAGGATGAACGAATGAGAGCACGATACATAAAGTGAGTAAATATCCACAACCTGACCTCCGGGAGCAAGAGGTGTTCGTTTTTTGGGTTCCTTTGTAGTCAGTTTATGTCTTTGTAGTTGTTTTGAGACTTGTGTGGTCGTTTTGTGTCCCTTTGATGTCAACTTGTGTACTTTTGAAGTTGTTTTGTGTCTCTTTGTAGTCGTTTTATTTCTCTTTGTTGTCAATTTGCGTCTATTGTAGTCATTTGGAGTCCCTCTGATTTAATTTGGTGTCTCTGTGTAGTTGTTTTGTGTCTCTTTAAGGTTATTATTTGCTTATTCTGATTTAATGACCTTAAAGAGTCATTGTATCTCTTCGTAGTTTAATGCCCCTTTCACACCAACGCGGTTCCCGTTCTAGCTCCGTGCTAGAGCTTTTCTGGTTCGGAACCGGTTTTTATTTTCAGCCTCCGCTTTGTTCACACCGCCCAGAGCCCGAGTGGTGCTGCGTCATTGCGTCATTGCGTCATCGTTTGCGTCGCTGATTTTCTCCCCAACGGCGTCGGGTCGATGATCGTGTTGCTTTTAATCATAGAAGCCAGATTAAATTAAATAACTACTTCTCAACCCTTATACTTTTCTCCAGAGTGCCGTGGTTCATTGTTTATTAATGTGTTTCAGCGGCATGTACCGACCGCTGCAGTGCTGCCCGCTGTTTGGCGATGTTAGCATAGCAACCGAAGCTAAACTGACTATCTTGACTATTTGTTGCTATCCTATTGTGGCATAAGCCGTTTTCTACAGGCACATTTTACCGGCGTATTTTTCATTATGATTCTACTTGTGATAGTCGGACATGACAACCTGTGCAGCCCATGTATTGATTCCATCCGATAGCTGCTATAATAAAAAACAAAATGTCTGCCTGCTCTCCACAATGATCAATAACAGCGAACGGATGGTCAAAGTAAGGTACAAATAATCAGAATCACACGAAGCCTGGTTAGTGTTGCCTGACTTTATAAAGTGTGTTTTTTGTATTAGTGTGTGGTTGCCTTCTAGTCACTTTGCTCAGCACTACTGCTTGTTACAACTTTCATTTGCCGTACTCTCCATAAACTGTTAGCTCAGATTGATCCCGCCCCCCTCCGACGTAAGCGTGACGTGTGCGGTTCTGAGCTTAGAGCCGGCTCCGCTGCGGTGTGAACAGGAAAAACGGTTTTTGTGTCTATAGTAGACATTTAGAGTCCCTCTGATTTTATTTGGTGTACTTTTGAAGATGTTTTGTGTCTCTATAAGGTTATTTGTTGCTGTTTCAGGTCCTTTACTGACCCTATAGAGTCATTTTATGTCTTTGTAGTTGTTGAAAGTCCCTTTGATGTCAACTTGTGTACTTTTGAAGATGTTTTGTGTCTCTTTAGTCATTTTATTTATCTTTGTTGGCGATTTGTGTCTACAGTCATTTGGAGTTCCTATGATTTAATTTGGTGTACTTTTGAAGTTGTTTTGTGACTCTTTTGTTGTCATTAAGCATCACTTTAATGTAAGTGCGTGTCTCTTTAAATTACATTTTACAGGAGAAAGCTGAGGAAATACAGCTTTGCTCCGTAGATTAAGATGAAAAGATGAATACCACTCACATTTGTACGCTAAAACAGTTGCTGCAGCCAGATAGCTTAGCTTAGCTTAGCATGAGGAATGAGGCTAAAGTCTAGCTCTGTTGTTAGGAGGTAAGAAAACAAAAGATGTGCTGTACGCAGATTTAATCCATTTCCAAAGTTTCCAGTCTTTAAGATAAACTAACACGCTAGCTTAGCTTCATATTTAGCAGATGGATATCTCATCTAACTCTCAGCAAGAAAGCAAGTTTGTTTATTTCCCAAAATGTCTAAATACTCTGTAGTATGTTTTACTATAAGTTACAAACAGATCTATAGAAAATGCACAGACTGTACAAAGAGATGATAAAACTTCAAATGTATGTGGTTGTGATATTTAACTAATTAAGACGTCCTACAGTATCACTTCAACTCTTAGTACAATAACACATATCTAAAACTGTACAAAAACTCACAAACCTCCCCCTGTGGCTGAAAACCTTTTAACACTTCAGGAGTTATTTAATTATTCTGAAACAGAAACGTCGTCTTTATACGGTTACACATCAGTGGATGTGAGGAGAGGATCTGTCGTTGGTGGTGGTGGGTCGCAGCTTCACCGTGGCAAAAGGGTTGGTGCCTCTGAAACAAGACCACAGTGTTACACACACACACACACACACACACACACACACACACACACACACACACACACACACACACACACACACACACACACTTTCTTGCTTAGCTTTTTGTGACATGCTGGATGATTTTACTTTTGTTGTACCTTAAACCGTTGTCGTTATATCTTAAGAAATGCATTATGTTAAAATATATAGTGGAGTAGAAGTATAGAGTAGCGTCACATGGAAACACCCAACACACACACACACACACACACACACACACACACACACACCACACACACACACACACACACACTCACACACACACACACACACACACACACACACACACACACACACACACACACACACACACACACACACACACACACACACACACTATCTAACAGCCCAGAAAGAAGATGGAAAATATTGATTGTACATAGTGTGAAAGCTTCAAAGGAATTTGGGGTATTCGTTGAAAAATATGTGTTTGGAATTAGGGACCAACCTAGAAGATCTGAGTACTTCTACTTTTACTCAAGTACAAGATCTGAGTACTTCTACTTTTACTCAAGTACAAGATCTGAGTACTTCTACTTTTACTCAAGTACAAGATCTGAGAAATCATCAAAGACAGCAAATATTGATCCAACAGGAAAACATGTACCTGGGGAACAGCGGGTTGTCAGGCTGTCCGTGGGGGGATAACGCCTAAAAAAAGAGAGTATTGAAAATATCAAGGTCCCCTATTAAACTGTTTCTCATCAATATATCAGAGGTCTCAGATATATCCAGAACCTGTCTCTGATTGGCTGAAACACCAAACAGATCATTGCAGCATCCCATAATCCCCTCTGTTTCAGCCCTGTTTCCAAAGTGCTGATTCTCTGTCTGTTACTTTAGATCAGGGGTGGGGAACCTCCGGCCCCCGGGCCGTATACGGACCGTGAGACCATTTGGTACGGCCCTCGAGGTAATTTATAAACACACACAAAAAAGAAAAAAATTAAAGAAATCTCGACCGCAAAAGAATTAAACAAGCGAGTGCCTGTTTTTCCTGGCCAAGGTCAGGGTCCTTGAACACAACACAAGCCTAACGTGTCATCACGTGGTGTATGTCTGGTCTGACAAGGGTGCAGTTCTGACGGAGAGCTCCAGAACGCCGCTCCGGCACTTCAAACATTGCAGTACCCATAAGGAGCCGTACACATGCCGCAGTTTCTGCGTGGCTGTGTCTTTAGTTGAAAGCCCAGTGGAGATCTGTTCATCTGTCATACTGATCAGACAGTCAATAACTTTGTTGTTATTAGCATCTGGTTAGCTAGCTATGCTAACGAATATAAGAAGCTTCTACAACCAGTGAGGTAAAGGCACATCTTTATATGATCATTATAGTTGTAAAAAAATAAGAGAATAAAGAAAACAGGTATAAAATACTAAATGACAGTAAAAGAAAAATGTAAAAAGTTTGAAAGGAGAGTGATTTGTAAAATATCCATAAAGAAAAATAAAATCTGCTTCCAGTTCTGTTTCATATGGGTATTGAGAGATGTATCCATAGATCTCTTAATGTAGCTCTCAAAGTGCACCAGATTGATGCTTTTAATGCCCCCCGGACCCCCCTAGAGGAGTTTAGGTCCCCCACCCCACTTAAATCATGTCCACATGGATAGGAAACTAAATGCATTTGCACACATCTTGTGTCCATATCTTTATGTTGTGGTGGTCATGCCACAACCGTGCACGTGCATGCAACCGTGCACGTGCATGCATGCGCGAGTCATGGTGAGATATCTGGAGGTTGCTTTTTCTTTGCACAGCATGAAAGAAAGGCCAAATGAATGGGCTGTTATTTTAGTATTTTTATGCAGAGGTCAATCGGCCCTCGGAGGATGTTGAAAAAATTGAAAAGGCCCTTGAGAGGAAAAAGGTTCCCCACCCCTGCTTCAGATGAAAATAAGGAGCCCTTCCCCACGCCCCTCTGAGAGAGATTTGGTTAAAAAGAACACAATGGTGCTCTAGGAGGAGATTCAGGTGATAAGGTGGGGGGGGTTACCTTGGTTGCTGATTGGCTAATGGTTACACAAGACAAAACATCGTTATGACATCATAAAGTGGCCAAAATCTGATCAGCTCATTTTCAGACAGGTTTTTATAGAAATGGATCAGGACAAAAAGAGAGAGAATCTTTGTTCCTGAAACTTTCAGAGTCTCTTTCCACAGAGGGGACACATGTTGATGTAGAAGAGACATGAAGAAGAGGGGACACATGTTGATGTAGAAGAGACATGAAGAAGAGGGGACACATGTTGATGTAGAAGAGACATGAAGAAGAGGGGACACATGTTGATGTAGAAGAGACATGAAGAAGAGGGGACACATGTTGATGTAGAAGAGACATGAAGAAGAGGGGACACATGTTGATGTAGAAGAGACATGAAGAAGAGGGGACACATGTTGATGAAGAAGAGACATGAAGAAGAGGGGACACATGTTGATGTAGAAGAGACATGAAGAAGAGGGGACACATGTTGATGAAGAAGAGACATGAAGAAGAGGGGACACATGTTGATGTAGAAGAGACATGAAGAAGAGGGGACACATGTTGATGTAGAAGAGACATGAAGAAGAGGGGACACATGTTGATGTAGAAGAGACATGAAGAAGAGGCGACACATGTTGATGTAGAAGAGACATGAAGAAGAGGGGACACATGTTGATGTAGAAGAGACATGAAGAAGAGGGGACACATGTTGATGTAGAAGAGACATGAAGAAGAGGGGACACATGTTGATGTAGAAGAGACATGAAGAAGAGGGGACACATGTTGATGTAGAAGAGACATGAAGAAGAGGGGACACATGTTGATGTAGAAGAGACATGAAGAAGAGGGGACACATGTTGATGTAGAAGAGACATGAAGAAGAGGGGACACCTGTTGATGTAGAAGAGACATGAAGAAGAGGGGACACATGTTGATGTAGAAGAGACATGAAGAAGAGGGGACACATGTTGATGTAGAAGAGACATGAAGAAGAGGGGACACATGTTGATGTAGAAGAGACATGAAGAAGAGGGGACACATGTTGATGTAGAAGAGACATGAAGAAGAGGGGACACATGTTGATGTAGAAGAGACATGAAGAAGAGGCGACACATGTTGATGTAGAAGAGACATGAAGAAGAGGGGACACATATTGATGTAGAAGAGACATGAAGAAGAGGGGACACATGTTGATGTAGAAGAGACATGAAGAAGAGGGGACACATGGTGATGTAGAAGAGACATGAAGAAGAGGGGACACATGTTGATGAAGAAGAGACATGAAGAAGAGGGGACACATGTTGATGTAGAAGAGACATGAAGAAGAGGGGACACATGTTGATGTAGAAGAGACATGAAGAAGAGGGGACACATGTTGATGTAGAAGAGACATGAAGAAGAGGGGACACATGTTGATGTAGAAGAGACATGAAGAAGAGGGGACACATGTTGATGTAGAAGAGACATGAAGAAGAGGGGACACATGGTGATGTAGAAGAGACATGAAGAAGAGGGGACACATGTTGATGAAGAAGAGACATGAAGAAGAGGGGACACATGTTGATGTAGAAGAGACATGAAGAAGAGGGGACACATGTTGATGTAGAAGAGACATGAAGAAGAGGGGACACATGTTGATGTAGAAGAGACATGAAGAAGAGGGGACACATGTTGATGTAGAAGAGACATGAAGAAGAGGGGACACATGTTGATGTAGAAGAGACATGAAGAAGAGGCAACACATGTTGATGTAGAAGAGACATGAAGAAGAGGGGACACATGTTGATGTCGAAGAGACATGAAGAAGAGGGGACACGTGTTGATGTAGAAGAGACATGTGTCCCCTCTGTGTAAAGAGAGAGTCTCTTTACACAGAGGGGACACATGTTGATATAGAAGAGACATGAAGAAGTGGATTTTAAATAATAGGTGACCTTTAAAGGGGACCTATCATGCAAAATGCACTTTTGTACGTCTTTTCTACATGAATATGTGTCCCTGGTGTTCCAGGGAACTCACCAAGTGTCAGAAAACACAACCCTCTCTATTTTCCTCCATACCCAAATCTCTAAAAACGGGGCTGCAACGGATCTGATAAAAACTGATCCAGATTTGAACATTCTCTGACGTCAGGAACAAGGAGCTCCGCCTATATGGCCAACTCTCCACCTATCAGGGGAATGAGAGGTTGCCGTGGCATGGTAACAGCATGGTAACAGCATGGTAACATGACGCTCGTGCCTCGCCCCCCTCCTTTGCAGGGGGGCGAGGTCAGCTGCAGCGCATGCAAAAACAGGGCTGGAGGAGAGCAAAATAGAGCAAAATGAGGCATGGCTAAAATGCATGATCTGTTTGGTATTTTGAAAAAGAAACTTCACAGAAATGTTTTATATAGGTATGGCCCTACAATATATTATTCAAATATAGCATGATAGGTCCACTTTAAAGTACATTTAAAAAAAAAGAAAGAAAGTTACCCTCAGATCAGAGGCCGCCTCCCCCTTTCTCTCAGGGAGGGGGGATATGGGTCTGAACTCTGTGGAGCTCCTCCTCTGATTGGACGAGAGAGGAGGAGGGGGGTGAGGGGGGGGTTTGGTCTCTGAAGCCGCCTCCCCCTTTCTCTCAGGGAAGGGGGAGGAGCAGGAGGAGGCTCTGCGATTGGGCGTGGCCGGGGGCGGGACATCTCCGTAGCTGGTGCTCTCTGATTGGTCGGTGTAGCTGTCAGTCGGGTCCAGCAGGTTGTTCATGCTGTGGCTCCGCAGAGAAACACCACTGAGGGGGGGGGCGGGGGTGGGGGGGCAGATATTTTAGGGATTTATAACAGACTGACAGATAAGAGAACATTTGTATTACTTAAAGGTGGGGTAGGTAATTTTGAGAAACCGGCTCGAGATCGCTAGAATTTGAAAATACACAACCGGAGAAAATCTGCCACTTCCTTATAGAGCCCCTCCTCCAACACACACGAACGCGCACATGACCAATGAGGGCACGAGATAAGTTTGTGCACAGATGGAAGGCTGACAGGCAGGTAGGCCATCCAGTTATTTTAGCAGAGCCGGCTAAAATGATTGGTCGTGCTTTTTACAGTACTACAGCTTCCACAGATGACATTTATTTATGGATTTTTTGTCAAAGCACTTCAGATATTCATTGCTATCGGGATGTTAAGAGCATTCCATGGAATATAACACAAAGTGTATCTCGAGCCGGTTTCTCAAACTTACCTACCCCACCTTTAAAGACTTTATAGTATTTCCTAATTAGCCAAATAAATTACATTTTCGGTCATTTTGCTCTAATATTTTCAATCAGATCTGAGTTTTTAGTATCTGTAAATGAAAAAAGTGCTCGTACAAATGTGAGGAATTCAGTGTCTTGTTCAAAGCAAGGTAATCAAAATAAAGTAAAATGAAAATGCATGCTTTATGTATATATTCCTTCATTTACAACAATACAGCTTGTCCAAAAATAAATATACAAAAACGAACCCATTCTGGAAACCTGAAAGTAAACAACCAATCAAATCCTGGAAAGTAATTAAAATGTAATGAAAAAGTCGAGACTAGGGAAGTTTCATTAATCACTTAAAACTATTATAATCTAGGAGGATTTCTCTAAATCTAAGGTAACAATATAATAAACTTGATTCATAGCGCACTTTACAAATGCAACCTAAAGTGCTTGCCATACACTCAAACTGGGGCTCAGAGACAATAAATAAGACAAAAGAAAGACAGAAGATATCAAAATATATATGTAAAATTAAACCTGAGACGCCTGAAAATAATAATATTTAGAAAATGAGTAAAAAACTATGAGAATGACTTAAATTATGAGCAAATCAGAGGAAAAGTGTTTCATATCCAGAGTTGGGTGTAACGCGTTACAAAGTACAAACACCCTTTGACAGACTAAACTAGTAGTTACTACATTATTCAGAAATGTACAGTAACTTTGGATAATAACACGGCGGGTTTCGGAGCCTCTCTGTTCCTCCCCCTCCCCTGACAGCCCGTCTGTGTCTCATGCAGCTCGCTGATCCAGTGAACGAGTGACCCGACACGACAGTAAATAATAAACATTTATAACTAGTTTAGCTAGTTCCAGGGGTAGATAAGATTGGTAAATGTGATGGTCTAACTTTTAACATTTTAAATATTTCAAGTCACTAGAGGGATTTCCACCGCAGGTTTATATTTTCATGACATTTGCGCGACTTGTCCACGTGCAGCCAAGCGTGTTGCAGCCGTCACAGGGGTTGAGCTGCAGAGCAGAGACAGAGACATCAACAGCTATAACTTTCGAGGGGGTGGAGGTATGCCCATTATTTTAAATGTATCTGAAGGAAGGACAGGAATGTGACGGTAAGGTGCACTGCTGCAAACACAACCACATCAAACCTCTCCAAGCACCTGCAGAGGCAACATGCTAACACCAAGCTAGCAGCTAAAGACCCCCAAACCCACAGTGATGATGTTGAGTGAGTGCCGACTCCAAACAAGAATTTTCACCGTTATTAACTTGTGTTATGTCTTCCTTATTGCAATAGTAATTGTTATATGTGTGCACATGTAGGCCTAGTGTTTTAAGTTTTGGCTATAGGCTGTTGCTGAGTAACGCAAAAGTAATGTAAAGAAACAAGAAACTTTATGAGAGTAACAAAGTAAAGTAATATATTACTTTACTTTTAAAGTAATATGTAATATATTACTTTTTTTGAGTAACAACCCCATCTCTGTTCATATCCCAAATGCTCTGACATTATTTCCTACCTGGTTGCTAAAGTGTTGGAGAAATCCTCCACAGGTGCAACGTAGGCTGCAGGAAACCAGCCCTGCCTGAGGACAGAGGACACAGGTGAGGAAACAGGTGAGGAACCAGATAGACAGGTGAGGAAACAGAGAGACAGGTGAGGAAACAGAGAGACAGGTGAGGAAACAGAGAGACAGGTGAGGAAACAGAGAGACAGGTGAGGAAACAGAGAGACAGGTGAAGAACCAGAGAGACAGGTAAGGAACCAGAGAGACAGGTAAGGAACCAGAGAGACAGGTAAGGAAGCAGAGTGACAGGTGAGGAAACAGAGAGACAGGTGAGGAACCAGGTGAGGAACCAGGTGGGGAACCAGGTGGGGAACCAGGTGAGGAACCAGGTGAGGAACCAGGTGAGGAACCAGGTGAGGAACCAGAGAGACAGGTGAGGAACCAGAGAGACAGGTGAGGAACCAGGTGAGGAACCAGGTGAGGAACCAGGTGAGGAACCAGAGAGACAGGTGAGGAACCAGGTGAGGAACCAGGTGAGGAACCAGGTGAGGAACCAGGTGAGGAACCAGAGAGACAGGTAAGGAACCAGAGAGACAGGTGAGGAACCAGAGAGACACACACACGCACACACACACCCTCTCTCTCACACACACGCACACACACACACACACACACACACACACACACACACACACACACACACACACACACACACACACACACACACACACACACACACACACAAACACACAAACACACACACACACCCTCTCTTTCACACCAACACAGTCTCACTCCCTGAAGGTCCAGGAGCGACGCTTGGTCAGGGTCCATTGCGTCCAGTTGTGACGCTCCGAGGCTCCTTCAGCTTCATAAACGGACGTAAAGAGCTTTCAACTGATTGCAATGTATTCCCATCGGCGGCGGTATTTGACGCTCAGGGAAGCACTGCATCGGTCCATGTCGGCGGCATTTAAAGGCAATGTGAGCGTCCATTCCCATTGGATAACGGAGGATTACTCATCAACTCAAAAACACCAGATTATCCTTGTTAATTACACAACATTGATTGGTTTAAATTGTGTGCAATGCTTTTGTATTTTTCCCCTTCGATTCGGAGAAACAAATATTTTTTCGGAGTTTAGGATGGCAGAAGACACTACACTACCCAGAATCCTCAGCTAACGTTTGGGACTACACCATGTGCTTTGCTCGACAAACCCCGTGATTAGTCCTCAAGCTCTGTGATTGGATGTTGGAGTGGCAGTGCGCGAAGTTTACACCGAGCGTCAAACAGCACTTTGACATGGAAAGAAACCCATCGACGGCACACTATTCAAAACAGGAATCGAACGTGTCCTAACCCCCCCCCCCCCCCCCTTAGGTCACAGGCTCCTCCAACAGTGCAACACAATAAAACAGATACACAGAACAAATTGTGCAAGTAAATACAGAAAGAACAATAGTGAAATAGTAAAAAGTGAAATAGTGCAATAAGAGTCTATATACAAGTGATTGGAATATGATATATTTGACAAATAATTTCTAAGTAGCAGCCACATGAATGTTATGGATGTTGTTTCAAAGTTCAGGTGTTTAATAGTCTTATGGCCTGTGGGATGAAACTGTCCCTGAGTCTGGTGGTTTTAGTCCGGATGCTGCGGTACTGCCTGCCAGACGGCAGCAGACAGAACAGTTTGTGGCTGGGGTGATGGGGGTCTTTTATAATCCTGAGGGCTTTCTTTAAGGTTAACCTGGTATTTTTACTCCACTACATTTATTTTTAGTTACTTTACAGATTTGGATTAATGATGTGAAATATAAACAACCCTTAAATCAGACTTTAGTTACCCCATAGTAAAATTCAGTGAAGGTGATTGTCAAGTGCCAACAATCAGGCGAGATATTTGATAGTTGGTGCTTGAGAAGACTAAATATGTATCTGCAGATCCCTATAAAGTATATTCATTACTCGTTATTCTCTAATTGTTCATCAAAAACTGTATATAATGGCTATTTTGCACATCCCTTTCAAGATTTCAAGATTTTCAAAGGTTTATTGACATATCATATACACATCTACGGTGTAGTTATGCAATGATGACAAACTTGGGTCATAGGTTCCTCAACAAGAGATCTATCGATATCTGTGTACCTCCACCATTAAACTGTCATATTCTGCACATTTCTTATTCTATCTACATACATCTTATAAGAGTATAATACATATGTATAATATCAGTTAAAATAAGTGCTTCAACATAGTTAACATTGCAGGAAAGTTGATTGTCAAGTCCTAAAACAAATTATGCAATATATTAGACGTTAGGTACTTTGTCAGGCTTAATATTTATCTGTAGATACCCCCAAAGCTTTTTTCTTATTCAAAAGAAGACCTTAACTTAAAGTATTATTTAATGTTTAAATAAAGCCTAATTAGTTTGTCTGTTTTGCACATCCTCCTATTAATATCTTTGTACATCCGGCACTAAACTGTTTATTCTAGATACCATTTACAGTATCTTCTAGATATTTTCTATTCTATATTTCTATCATTGACCTTCTACTTTCCTCCTATTTTGTACTCTTAATATTTAAATGTTTTCATAAAATATAACACATTCAAAAGTGCTTTACAAAAATGAAAGACATTAAGAAAAAGGCATTTTAAACAGTCATTAAAAAGCAACACAATCTACCTGCATTGCAATTACTCTAAACGTGTAATAACGTGCTTTAACCAGTAGGAGGTGCGGGTTAAAAAGCTGTCAAGTTTACAGTGTTAACAAAATAAGATATACTGCTGTTTCTGGTTTAGTTTACGATGGATATATTTTGTTATTGTTTTGATATGTGTAACACAAAAGCGATGTAAAAAACCCACAGCAACACAGAAAAGATGGTCTTAACATGACCCAGCGGTCTAGTAGTTAATAAAAATCAATAATATCAAAACAAAATATTACTACTAACTTTATTGTGAAATTAAAACAGAACGGTAAAAGAATAGTTTCCGGTCTATTCTGAGGCCCGATCTCTGTAGATAAATAAAGAACTACGACAGATGTGTAATATTTAATGCAGCCAAACCATTTATTACAATGCATTCATGTGATGACTTTCAAAGAGTAAAGCAAGCACTGCTGAATAAAGTATGATTTTATCTTTTACGAAACTTTTTTTTTTCATATGGAATGCAGTTGGAGGTCAACCAATCACAGAGCTTGAGGACTAATCATGGAGCACATGGTGTAGTCCTAAACGATAGCTGAGGATTCTGGGTAGTGTAGTGTCTTCGGCCATCCTAAACTCAGAAAAAATATTTGTTTCTCCGAATCGAAGGGGAAAAATACAAAAGCATTGCACACAATTTAAACCTATCAATGTTGTGTAATTAACAAGGATAATCTGGTGTTTTTGAGTTGATGAGTAGTGCAGATATCACTGTAAAATCAATCGACAGTAAGGAGAATACTTACTTCCGGGTGTAAAATCCTCCGTTATCCAATGGGAATGGACGCTCACATTGCCTTTAAATGCCGCCGACATGGACCGATGCGGTGCTTCCCTGAGCGTCAAATACCGCCGCCGATGGGAATACATTGCAATCAGTTGAAAGCTCTTTGCGTCCGTTTATGAAGCTGAAGGAGACTCGGCGCGTCCCAACTGCACGCCATAGGACCCTGACCAAGCGTTGCTCCTGGACGTTCAGGGAGTGAGAGTGTGTTGTTCACACACACACCCTCTCTCTCTCACCTCAGGTTGTCAGTTTGTCCTTACAGCCAGCCGTTTCTTTGCTACAGCACTAACACACACACACACACACCCACACACACCCACACACACACACACACACACACACACACACACCCACACACACACACACACACACACACACACACACACACACACACACACACACACACACACACACACACACACACACACACACACACACACACCCACACACACACACCCTCTCTCTCTCACCTCAGGTTGTCAGAGCGTCCGTACAGCCAGCCGTTTCTTTGCTCCAGCACTAACACAGTGATGGTCTCCCCCCTGCAGAAGGGGAGGAGCTTAGGGTTTGAGGAGGAGGGGTGAGACACCAGCGCCCTCATAGCTCTGCCCCCCCCTCCCAGACCCAGAGACTCCCCCACTGAGCTGGAGCGAGAGCGGCTGCTAGGGAGGGGGGAGGGCGCTGGGGTGGGGGGGGGGTGGGGGGGTTGGGAGAGGAGGAGGATATATATTTGTTGTTTTTATTGATGCATTGTCTTGTTTTCAACTAAACAAACAGCTGGGTCGCTTGTGATTCTCACATGGGGGTCAAAACACTTTATAAAAACACATGATGAATAATAACGATTATATTCAGCCTCATTAAAATCTGACTCTTCAAAGTTACTAAAGATGTCAGATGAATCCAAAGAACTAAAAGTGTAGAGTAGCATAACATTGAATAATTTAAAGGTCACCTATTATGCAAAATGTGTCCCCTCTTCTCCATGTCTCTTCTACATCAACATGTGTCCCCTCTTCTTCATGTCTCTTCTACATCAACATGTGTCCCCTCTTCTCCATGTCTCTTCTACATCAACATGTGTCCCCTCTTCTTCATGTCTCTTCTACATCAACATGTGTCCCCTCTGTGTAAAGAGATTCTGAAAGTTTCAGGAACAAAGATTCTCTCTCTTTTTGTCCTGATCCATTTATATAAAAACCTGTCTGAAAATGAGCTGATCAGATTATGATGTCATAACGATGTTTTGGCTTGTGTAACCATTAGCCAATCAGCAACCAAGGTAACCCCCCCCCCCCCACACACACCTTATCACCTGAATCCTCCTAGAGCACCATTAGGCGCTTTCACACCGGATTACTTTTCCCAGGAATAATTCCTATAATTCTTTGGATTTTGCGTTCACACCAAAAAAATCTGGAACTAGAACTTTTTTTTGGGAACCTTTTCACCCCTTTTCAGTCCCTGCTAGAGAGGTGGTACTTTCCTGGGGAGAAAAAGGTTCCAATTTCTGATTGGCTGGGCGAATTGCAAACCACGCCCTGTAAAACTCAATTTTATTTGCTCGCATTAGCATTATTAGCATTAGCATTAGCCCAGCGCACAAACGCAGAGAGACTAACTTATGGCAACACAAAAGAAAACATGGAAGCGGTGGAGATGAGGAGGTGTCAGCGTTCTGGCGATTTACTCGGACGGCTTCAGTCGAAGCTGCTGGGAGTCCCAGCAGCTTCTACTGAAGCCAGTCCCCAACTCCGGGGACTTCCGGCTGGGGACTTTGGGTGGCAGTATACGCCGTGAAGTTGTTTGCGGCCTGCCAGTAAACCCAAAGCAGAAGAAGAAGAAGAAGTGACGTCAGCGGCTCCCTCAGGGACTTATTCCGGTGTGAATGTGATTTACTAGAAAGTTCCAGGAAATAAAAGTTCCGGGGACTATTCCTGGGAAAAGTACTTGGTGTGAAAGCGCCTATTAGCCGCGTTCACACCGGAGTACTTTTCCCCGTACTTTTCCCATTTAGTTCCGTTAGTACCCCTTATGTCGCGTTCACACCAAAAAGAGCACTTAATCTCGGGAACTTTTACCCCCATTTTTTGTGTCTGCTGAGAGATGGTACTTTCCTGGGGGAAAAAAGTGCCCCAGTTCTGATTGGCTGGGCGAATTGCAAACCACGCCCCGTAAAACTCTGAAATGTTTTGTAGAACCGCCATTTTATTATCCTTGCATTAGCATTATTAGCATTAGCATTCACCCAGCGCACAAATGCAGAGAGACTAACTTATGGCAACACAAAATAAAACATGGGAGCGGTGGAGATGAGGAGGTGTCGGCGTTCTGGCGATTTACTCGGAAGCTCGGAAGCTCGGAAGCTCGGAAGCTGCTGGGACTCCCAGCAGCTTCTACTGAAGCCAGTCCCCAACGCCGGGGACTTCCGGCCGGGGACTTCGGGTGGCAGTATACGCTGTGAAGTTGTTTGCGGCCTGCCAGTAAACCCAAAGCAGAAGAAGACGAAGTGACGTCAGCGGCTCATTTGCGTAATCTTCCCTCAGGAAATGTATTCCGGTGTGAACGCGATCTGTACTAAGTGCCCTGGGGTAATAAATGCCGGGGCACTAAGTGCCGGCACTAAGTACGGCAAAGTACTTGGTGTGAACGCGGCTATTGTGTTTTTTTTAACTAAATATCTCTCAGAGGGGCGTGGGGAGGGGCTCCTTATTTTCATCTAAAGTAACAGACAGAGAATCAGCACTTTGGAAACAGGGCTGAAAAAGAGGGGATTATGGGATGCTGCAATGATCTGTTTGGTGTTTCAGCCAATCAGAGACAGGCTCTGGATATATCTGAGACCTATAATATAAATAAAACAGTATAATAGGGGAAGTACTTGTATAGATATACTTAGTTACCCCTGGATTACAGAGTTAATATAACAGGTTTTATCTCATGAAGGGTCTCACCTCTGGAGGGAACTCTGCCCAGAGCCTGCTGCTCTCTGCGGGCCCACGACATGTCCTCATCTCTGGATACAGTCTGGAGGAGAGAGCTGACGGAGCCTCGCAGCTACACACATATGGTCATCAGCAGCAAAAACACACATACAGAAATTACAAATAGCTCAAAACAAGGCTGCCAGACTAGCTCTCCACTGTTCGAAGCACACTCATATTGGAGTTATGCATAGAAACCTATCATGGCTTCCAGTTGAGAAACGTCTGCAATCTCGTGCTATCACTTTTCTAAAATATTTCCAATTTAGCAAAAAAAACATTGTATTTTTATGATCAAATAGTTTACACAAGAGACGAGCACGACCATAAGACTAGACAAGCTACATCAGGCCATCTGCTGGCACCTAAACCCAGGACACATCTTCTGAAACCTTCTGTGACTTATAGAGCTATACAGGAACTCATTGCCAAACTACCTCGCTGAAATAGAGTCCAGAGCCTCTTTCAAGAAGAGATTTAAGGGCCATCTACTAATGACCATGTACCCTGTGAGCTGTGAACCCTAATTTAATTTGATCTCATGCTTTGTACTGGTGGGTGTCTTGTGCACTCATCCTTGGCTAAGATTGATATTGAAAGTGGATGACATTGTTGATGATGTTGGAGATTGTTGATGATATTGGTGATGTTGTTAATGATGTTAATGATGTCAGGACTTATGTCTTGAATGTTGTTGTATTATTGTTGTATTGTTTTAAGTGTCGGACCCCAGGAAGAGTAGCTTTTGTCAAGAGCAAAAGCTAATGGGGAACCTAAATAAACATAAACATAAACACACACACACACACACACACACACACACACACACACACACACACATACACACACACACACACACACACACACACACACACACACATACACACACACACACACACACACACACACACACACACACACACACTTGATATGTGTGTAACAGGTGAGTAAACGTTATATTTGTATTGACTCCTTGCGAGGCGTCTGCACCTGAGCGTCCTGGTCGGGATGGGTGGGCGTTCGAGGTCTGGAGCCTTTGGACTCGTTCACTTTCTCCTTCCAGCCGTCAGCCTTCTGCTGCAGAGACGCTCCGGTCTGAAACACAGAGGAGAGCGGTGTTACATGCTGGGAAGAAACAGACTCTCAACAAAAGGAAGCAACAAAATGAACAAAACACTGAGACGTTGACTTCATATGAGCAAAAAGGAGATATATTTACTTTGCAGCTCAAAGGGCCTTATGCCATACGATACCATACGATACGATACGATAGGATAATACTTTAATGGTCAGATGAAGTCTGAAATGCTCCTTGCATCACAGCAGCTCCATGTGTAACATCAACAGACAAATATCAAGACACATGAGAAACAATCAACAAACATGTAATATACAGATGGAGCATCTTATTTCAGACTCCAGCTTACTGCTTCCTGCCTGCTACCTGCCAGCTACCTGCCTAAGTACTGCCAAAGACCAGTATCTGGGAATGTTAAGCCCTCCCACTATTTTCCAAGAGGGCGTTGCCAGATTTTCAATTTCAGGATTTAACCAGGAGATGGCGCTTCCTTCACAAAAACAGGAAGAGAACTTTCATGGACTTTCAGTTTTGTTTAGAAGAGCATTTGAACACATCAATATTTTAGATCAAATAAAGTATATCTAATCTTGTAATTCAATAATATATAGTCTTTATATATTAAATAACTATGACCAAACTAAGACTTAGTTTTTCACAAGAGAAAATGCAGATATTATATAAAAAACTAAAGTTAAAATCTTGTTTTTAATGCCCCAAGAGCAATAAAAACACTTGGTAAAAAAATCCTGAGTGAGGCTTTCATAAATTGCATTTAGCTGACGCTTTTATCCAAAGCGACTTACTATTTAATAAATGATAAATGATTATTCATAACAAATATGAGTGATGTGTGATTATTATTCATGCTATATACTGATATAGGGCTAAGTAAGCAATCAATCCTGCAAATTAACCCTTAGTTGTTCAATATATTTATTCAGACAATGTGAGTAGAAATACAGAAATTCTGCTCCCACCTAAGGCCAACGTTGCAATATTACAACATTTCCCTAAAAACTTACCAAGACGTAAACATTTTTAAAACTCTTTCATTTCTGCTCCAGAGGCCAGGGGTTAAATTGGGATTTGATATGTGGGGGGGCTCTGTTAGAAGGTGCGACGGGGGGGGAGGGGGGGGCTCTGTTAGACGCTCGTGAATTGTCAACGGGGGGGGGGGGGGGGGGCGTCTGGCCGTTCTGTGATTCTCCAGAAGCTCGCCTATGAATAAGTCCCGACTCTCCCGACGGCCAATCCGTGAAGAGAAGAGAAGAGACACACGTTCACTAAGCCGAAAAAACTATATCCGGTCACAGTGATCTGCTATTTTAAAGTAAATTCAACACATATCGACCCTAAATATAGCATATATTAACCTGTTCCACTCTGAGCCTGTTTTTCAGGTCTCAGGCTCGAAAATGACATTCCCAGAACAAATGACCATATCTTCCCTTCTAAAAGGGTTAAATTAATAATCTTTTCTCAAAGTAATGATAAACCTGTGAGTTGGATGTAGAAGTGTCAGAATCAATATAAATGTTTTTTATTTTAAAGAAAATTCAGATTTTACATAGTAAAAAACTGTAAATTATAGTGTCCGTCCAAAAATTATTTTGTACAGATAGTGAAAACTACCCTTGGATGATGGGTTAGTAGACTAAAAGCTTTAGGAATCCAAAGTACAACATATAATAAGTACCCTGTATCAAGATTGATGCAAAACAAGTGAAATTTGACCTTTTTAGAGAGATTTAGCCAAAAACTGGGCCATCTGGGGTCATTTGGGTGGATTTGACCTATCTCTGGCCCCCCTTGCTCGATCTGGTTGGTTGACATACCCTTGTGACCGTTAGAGCCAATAGAATCGAAAGAGGATACTCGCATAGACACACATTGTAAAGAAAAAATGTTGCCGCTTCGCGTGTGGAAAGCGAAACTAAACTGGAGGAATGTCTCCTTCTGGAGTTTGGAAACTAAAACGCAGTTGTATTGCTTATGGATTATCAGAAATAATTTCAAAGAAGGCACAGACACATAGGATGAACCTATGGATTAACTGCAGCATCGTTTTTTTATCGTTTTAATGCCATTGAAGACCACTTTTGACCAAGGTAAGCCATATTTACATATTTAGCTTCTTGGCTCCACATGTGATGATGTACGCTTTCGTTGATAGCGTCGCGAATGTTTATCACTGAGTGTTGAGGTGGGCACCGTTAGATTCAGTGTCTCCAGGACACCAAAAAATAGTGTTTGGTTGTGCATCTAGGATAAGTAATAAGGGAGTTCTGAGTGAGTTTATGTGCCTTTGTCGGTCCCGTTTTTTCGATCGAGGCTAATTCAGAGGCTGAGTGCTAGCATTGTGGGTTTTTTTTGAAAAATAAAATTAAAAAGATCAGTTAGCTGAGTTTCTTCCCGTTACATGGATATAACACATTCATAGTTTTATTCAATATTAAGATTCCTTAGACGTTGTTTCCTGCAAATGACGCGTTTATCCGCCCGGTACCGGGGGGAAGGCGTGAAACAGGTTAAGAACGAGAAAGTGTTAACATCGTTTTTTGTAAACATATGACAAATGTGCGAGGGTGATGACATCAGAGCATCGTCCTATGGGCTTAGCCCCGGACAGGTACAACAGGTATTCACTCAGAGGGGGGTAGGTACTAAATGCCACCCATTTACATGTAGGCAAACTGTCAAAAATCAACATACAGTAGGGGGGTGGGGATGGTGAACGGTATGTGGGTATGTGGGACACTGAAAAGTCTATGTTAAAAAGCCTCAGTCACCTTAATTCATGTAATAAAAACATCTCAGGTCAGTAACACTGAAAGCTAAATGTGCAATATCATGTTCAGCTATGTTACTATTTATAATGTTATTGTTGTTACAACAGAAGATGTTAAATGCATCAATCTGGTGCACTTTGAGGTCAAAATTAAGAGATTTATGGATACCGCTGGAAAAAGCTGCATATGCCGAGCCTGTACGTAGCGCTGTAACTTCCTCCACAAAAGCAGCCTTCTGTTTATTCAACGTGGTGGGGGCCGAGGGAACCGGGCAGAGTTTTTCGCCGGTCAACGTGTGTGAAAGTTTAAATCTTCCTTATTGAGCTTTAAAACAAATGAATAATGACTATATATAATAATAAAATAAACACCGGCTGTTGTTATGCCTGCTGTAACGTTAAATTACTCCGTTCTCCGCTTAAGTAATTATGCCGTTACAAGCTTCATAGTTGTATTTATCATATAAATTTGCCGAAACAAGTTTAATATTCTGAAAGCCAAGACTTTGTTTATTTGAAATCAGATGAAAACAAACTGTAATGGACCCTGCCGTGTTATCTATGATTACTATATGCCTTACTGTACATTCATAATTTCAGCCGGAGGGAGGGGGGCGGCGCTGCGGCAGAGCAGATTGCGAGTGAGAGGTGCCTGTCATCTTCCCTTTACAAGCTTCACAAATGTATTTATCGTGTGATTTTGTAAATAAAAGTTTCATATTCTGAAAGCCAAGACTTTGTTTATATATTATACGTGGGTAGCTATGACGTCAGAAGGAGTTACCATAAATGAGAGCTGCCGTAAAAGTGTTTCTAGGATCTCTAAACGAACTATTACAGCTGTTATAAAGCATTAAATGAAAAGTCATGAAAGAGATAAGGAGGAGAAAAGGTTTAAGGAAGTAAGCAATGAATACAGAATGTCGAAATCCTCTGTTTCACACAATGTCGAACATTGAAGACAGAGGACGGCGGTCCCCCAATCTACACAGCGGGAGAAAGACAACTATTTTTTAAATCAATAAAAACATTTTCTAAATCCATAAAAGCATTTCAATTAAGATTGGGAGTCATGTCGTTACTTTGTTGAGAATGTGGCCATGTAATAAACGGGATAATTTGCAGCGACTTGGTCATTGTGGGGAAAAATAACACCCATCCTGATCGTTTGAATGAAGTTGAATACAGAATATTCATATTTGTCAGTGATTTCATGTCAATTCGGCGAACATAAACATAAATGATCGTGGTGAAGATGATGATTCAATTAGGATTAAAAATCGGGAGAGCCGGCTGCATTTCCTCTCGTTCGTTTTTTTCGACTAAACAACATTATTTTGTTAAATAACAACATGGTGATGTTTTGTAAATTATTACATGTCTTATTTAGCACAGACTATGATCCTATCCGTGACATATGGATTTTAACAAAGATCCGCTATACATTAGTACCAGACATACTGTACATCCAGTTTACTGTATCGAAGTTGATTTCACATGAGCTCCAGTGTGGAACCCCACTGCACCCCCTGGTGGATCAATGATCCATTGCAGCTGGCTTCACAATAATTAAATGTATTTATCACGGGGGCGGTATCAAGTCAGACTGGGGGCCGGCTCTTCATCACGAACCGATCACGGGCCAATCACGACCCAATCACGACCCTCGCGTTTCAAACTGTCTGAAATAAGATGCCCCATCTGTAACTGCAGGATCAGTGAGAGCTGCTCAAAGAGCCTTCAGCGTGATCTGATGCAGGAAGCAATATGCAAAAAAAGGTCCTTCTATTTTTGATATTCATTTTAAGTTAGTGTGTGTGTGTGTGTGTGTGTGTGTGTGTGCGCACCTTGTTGATGAGGAACAGCAGGGACTGTGTGAGTCCGCAGTGTTTCTCAGCCAGGAAGCGATACCTCCTCTCCTCCTCCTTCAGGATCTCCTGCTGACTCTGACGCAGGTACAGCATGTACTCACTGTTCTCCTGCACACATACATACACACACACACACACACAAACACAAACACACACACACACATCATGCATCTCTAAAGTTTAAAGTAACGGTTTAAGGTACAAAAAAGTAAAATTATCCCAAATTGTGTTCAGTGTGTGTGTGTGTGTGTGTGTGTGTGTGTGTGTGTGTATGTGTGTGTATGTTTGTGTGTGTGTGTTTGTTTGTGTGTGTGTGCGTGTGTGTGTGTGTGTGTTTGTGTGTGTGTGTGTATGTGTGTGTATGTGTGTGTGTGTGTGTGTGTGCGTGTGTGTGTGTGTGTGTGTGTGTGTACCAGGGAGTCTCTGTACACTCCTCTCCTCAGTTGTTTCTCCAGACTCTCGGCCTGGTTCCTCACCTCCAGCTCGTAAACC